CAGAGAGGGGTAGAGAGACATTTGGGGAAGAAGAGGGGAGGAGGAAAGAAGGGAAAGGGAGGAGGAGGAGTAGAAAGATCCGGAGAAAAAGTTTGAAAGAAAACGAGAGACGTCTCAGTGGCCGGCGCGGTACAAAACGAATAAGTGGAGGTTGAAACCGAAGGCTCAAACGGCTCATAGTCTCAGTGTGTGTCTGTGTGTCTGTGTGTGTGTGTGTGTGTGGGTGGGTGTGTGGATTTTACTGCTGCCGGGGAGCCGCTGGGCACGCGCCTGCTCCTGTGTGTCGTCGGGCGGATTAGATGAGTTTGACTTCACGATGAGGAGCGACCCGGTTCTGTTCACTTCCAACAGGGGTGAGTGGCTCAACCTGGGGCTTTTTCTTAGCAGCTGGAAAGCTCTTTAATTCACACCAACATGTGTGTCAGGAGGTCCCAGCGTCTGTATTACACTGTATTACACTGTATTACACTGCATTACACTGCATTACACTGCATTACACTGTATTACACTGCATTACACTGTATTACACTGCATTACACTGTTTACACGTATTACACTGTATTACTCATACTGTATTACACTGCATTCCTGTTTCACTACATTACACTGTATTACACTGTATTACACTGCATTACACTGCATTACACTGCATTACACTGTATTACACTGCATTACACTGTATTCACATAGTAATATCCACATAAACCTACCAAGTCTGGCTTTCATGAGCTGCTAGAGTTTGCACCGAACATCTGTACCTTATATTCCCACCTCGTTTGCTCATAACGGTTTTGGTTTGCTGTTCCTGCTGTCATTATTAATGTCTCTGTGACATTTCATAGGATTGTATTGTGAATATTGTACTTTTACTTGAAGATAGGCTGAACTTTTCTTCCAACTTCAGTCATATTAAGGCTACAAGTCTCATTAAAAAAAGGTTTCCATCAAAAGTAATGACTTACAAAACTTCACTATAAAATTGCTACAATTGTATTCTTTATTTGACAATGTGTTTGGATTAGCCAATGGCTAACTGTATTAAAGAAGGGTGTCGTTGAAAGCACGCGCACACACGCACGCGAGCGCACACAGCACCACGCGCTGAAAGTATCCCATTAGGGTGAAACTTTATTTAGAGCACTCTGTGTTCACATATTGGAAGAGCCAGTAGTGACTTTTAAATGAATGCAGAGTTTCAAAATAAAAGGTAGTGTTGTTCTTCCCCGCAGAATGGGAGGGTGTTAGGGAGAGGAGACTGTGGAGAGACAGTTGGCTCCTGACAGTGTCATTAGGGTTGTGGGAGGTTGCTTAGTGTTTATGTTGTATGCACTTCACGCCAAACTCCATTCAATCATTTAATGTGGCTTCACTTCATGCAACAATGCACGCTCATAAAAGTGAAGCAAGACCTCTGCATGGGACTCCTGTCCTCAGGAGTTAAGACTTTAAGCTATGCATTCCAAGTCGCACTTAAATTGATTAAACTGAAACTTTTAGACTGACTTCAGGCTGCTCATTGCTCCTTCTCACCACAGTGGCATTTAGTGGAATGATTATTGGATTAACGGGAGAGCTACATAAACATGCAGGCCACATTGAAGAGTTGATAGTGCTCGAGTCTCAAGTGCTCAGCGTAGAATTTCCCTGCAACAAAGGTAGCAGTGTCTTTTGACAGAATGGATGGTACATACAGTGAGCAGGCTTCCCCCTCACCTTCACTGACCTCCAGTGTTAAAACTCTTTTCATTCTTCTTTCTATCGTTGTCATAATCTTACATCCTGACATGCTGCCTTATAACTTACTGTGTAGCTGGTGCTAACATATGCTTTTATATCTATTTTTTAAATATTTGTGCTGTAGTTTTATCCTTTCAGTTTTTTAACAAAGCCCACTGTTATGTAACCTAATTCCTTGTTTTCTAGCATTGTGACCTTAAAAACACGTCTGGTTTTCATTACCTCATCGTTGCTAGACAACAGATCCAGATACATCAACAACAAATATGATCTTGCATGCTTCACGGAGACATAAAATAAGGGATAGTCTGTACTGTATTGCTTTTGCTGACCTATGGGGTATAAACATCTGCCTCTGTGCCCATGTGGCCTTGATTTGAAAACTCTGACTTCTAAACTTGCTTGTACCCATTCTGCTTCCCCCAGTCGGTCTTAACTTCTTGGATTAGACTTCCAGGCCCACCTAAATGCTAATGAGGTGAAATGCATTGGTAAACATATGTATATAACCAGTGGTATAGGTCTTTTATTTTCCTTCATCAGGTCAGATTCCATCCACCTCAGCAGCTCTATTAATAAACGTTATTAAAAGCATTGCTGTTCATTCACTTAGTTTATTTTCTATCATATTTCCCAGCTCAGCAAATCTGCCAGTGCTCAGTCAGGTATTACACAGTCCAGGTCAACATTGGGGTAACTCCACACTGCAGCCAGAGGTTTCCTAACATGATCCTGGAATGACAACACAAATGCTCCATATCTCTTATGTCTCCTACTTGTAGCAGTGAATGGAGTCCTACAATAACAGGACCTCCGCTAGCAGCTGCAGGGTATCAGGTAGCCCGGCGGCGCTCCTCTGCCTGGCATTTGGTGAGGTTCTGACAGACATCCATTGTGTAGACGGGTTGTAATCACATCTCAGCGGCACATGAGAATGTAGCAGATCATGTTTTGGTTTTGGATTTGGACGAGGGTTAAACCGATGTGAGTTTAAGGCAACCAATATGCAGGTATGTAAACCCAACCCAGTTTCCCAACTCCCAACATACTTTGTTGAAGGTACATTTAGAGGAATCAGGAGAATACTTTTTAGGGGGAAAGCCATTAGTTAATCGTTAGTCTTTTTTTGGTTTATTGGTGGTACTTTTCCTTGTAATGATTGAGGCCTTGAGGTTATAGCTTTAGGCAGCTTTGTTCTGTTAGTATTGCTGTGGCCAAATTTTCAAGCAACTAATCACAACATAGTTTTACTTTTAACCATTTCCATGCCCAATAATATCCCCTGTGTGCCCATAAATATGTTCTTTACAGGCTAGAAAAATATTTATGGGACACAGTTAAACCCAAGCTACTACTGATAATGGTATGTTCTGACAAAATCTCAATGTTGGTGCCTTGTCCATCACATGTGATCAGAGCATCAGCAACAGCTTAGGCCGATTGATTTGATATTAAGTGAAACACCGGACCAGACCGGTAATACAGAATGTTAACACTAGGAGTCGCATGAGTTTGTGACAGCGTAATGTAGTAACTTTAACAGGGCAAACGGGAGCTAACTACGCACCACTCTGCTCAGCTGGGATGCATACTCTGCTCACGCTACGTGTGCTGAGGACAGAACTGAGTATTGTAGCATCTGCTAACTACAGGGTTGACATCAGTGGGAGCTGCTTCTTGTTTCTTCTTCAGCATGACAAATGCTGGCTCAGACGGTTTGCACAAAATCAAACAGGTTTAAGCTCGTACACAGGCTCTGAGCTACACAACTGGAAAATGACCTAACCCTTGCGCTGTCATACCAGAAGGTGAACTGGGAAATTCACTAGCATGTCGTATAAATATGTGATGGTTTGCAGAATGCTGCCTTTCCTTTGAAATGAACTAATTGCTGACCAAACCTTTGCTGTTAGAAAAGTGTTTGAGCCCTACGAAGTCCAATTCTTGTACTGGTTTATTGAACCCTGACTTGCTTCTCACTCCCAGTTGACTCGAGCTAGTGGAAACACTGCAAGCTACTTTGGCGAGTCAAGGATCCCTTTCAGCAAGTCCTTGCTCAAGAGATCTCCCACTTATGGGGTACCATGTTTTGGGGGCAAAAATGCGCAAGTGTTTAAGTGTTTATTACCATATATTATTGCAGCTTTCCTCACGGAAACCCTGACTCTACAAGCAATTAATGGGTGTCTGTGATGTGGGCAGAATGGGTACATGGTGTCACCGTTCTGGCCCATTTGGCTCTACTCTAGAGTTGGGGGTCACTTTCCGTCTCGGCCTCATTCAGAAAGCCCATTCTCCCCAATGATGATTTAAGTTTAAAAGCTTTCATGTGTCAGACGTGCGAGCCTCTCCTCCTTGGTGGTTGGGAGGACGTAGAGAGGAGAGATGAGGAGAAATGAGTTTGTAATCTCTCCCTCCTTCCCTCCGAAGCCGGCCTGTCAGTAAGCTGGCATGGGGGAACAGAGACTTTAATTTCGGGCCGACTAATCATAGCCCACCCGGCCGTCCCCCTGTGTCAATATCCATCTGGAAAAACACAAGGAGAAAGAGGGCGATCTCGGGCCAAGCTCGAGCACATGCCAAACAGGACAGTTTCATATGACTTAACTGGCAACAGGCCTACTGATTTAACATCACCAACCAACCATTTATGTTTGGACTCCTGCCTCAAAATGTAAAACTAACAGTTGAAACAGTCCTATTTATTCTTGGCATTGAAGGTTACCGTGGTAATTTAGGTCCATTAAGAGAGGATCATTTCTGATGAGCCTCACCAGGCGTCTTTAATAGGCTTATTGTTGTAATTGGATGAGCCCGTTAGCTTGTTAGGCTGTCTGTCTGCCTTGGACCAAGCTTTTAGGATTACAAGACCAAAGCTGCATTGGTAGCTTATGGTGTGTGGTGTAGCTAATGTAGCCGGGGGCGGGGGGGTATGTGCAAGAGGTCTGTCAGATTAAGGGAGGTCTGTCCTCCTATAGAGACAACAACAGCAACAGAGGAAGGGCTGAGGTGTAGCTTTGGACACACTCATGAGCGCACATCTTGTTTGCATATCTAATTTCTATGTGTTTAAATGCTGTTCTCGTAAATCTCCCGCCCGAGTTGTTCTGACGCGAGAACGTGACGCAATTACCTGACTTGTACCACTTATAGCGTTCCAGTTTGTCTTTGGGCATTACGAGTCAGAAAGAAGTGCAGCAGCTGTCTTGTTATTGTTTGTGGCTCTTCTAAACAAGCTCAATGTGAAATAATAATGGTTTTCTAGAGACACTAACATTTCAAGTAATTCCGTTATTGCAAGTCTTACTTTTCAATAATATTTTGCCATTTTTCGCCTGTCTCAATTTCAACAAGTGCTGTGGTGTTTCCCTCGAGCCACCAGGGGCAGTCGCAGGCTAGTGTTATTGTTAGCTACATTAGCCTATTTAGCAAACCAGCTAGAAAGCAAAACTTTACATTGTACAGCAACACCGTGCAATGCATACATTGGTGACCGGACTAAAGCAGCAATGTAAACAAGTGTGTAGGAGCATTTAAAATTAACATTAAAAAGACCAATGTTGTTCAAATACAAAGAAAATACATCTCAATATGGGCGCTGCCATCTTTGTTTTGC